TTCTAGTTAATATTATGCACAGGGGAATAATCAATACAGTGATGGATGTTGCCTTCGTGTATGTCCACAAAGTGAGGTAGGTGAGCAAAAGAAGCAGATGCCTGAAGCTTTTTTTGACATGTTTTAAACTTTGGGTGACTACTGAAGACCTCATGCACTACATCATGCTCTGGATGCACACTAGTCTAGCTTACAGCCTATAAGTGTGGAAAGTGGACCATGGGAGGCCTCCTGGACAAAGACAGGATAACTGACACAATGGACACTCCTGCAGCTGCCCAACAGTCTATAAGGCCATAAATATCCTCAGGCCAGGAGACACCCAGTGACCCAGGGGAATAGAACAGATGAAATGATACGTCCTTTTGATGACAACCCTCCAGGCCCGGGATAAGTGAGATAGCAAAGCGATGAACTTTAACTGACACCAATGGACATTCATCAAGGGCAGTAGCCTTAATGGCTCCCTCCAGAAAGCAGAGGTGAATTCCCCACTCCCAACTCAGGAATATGGGGCATCATGGGCACCTGACCCAGTCATAGACCATATTATAATATAACATTATACAGTATATCATCATTAGCTTGGTGCATGCATCACCACCTGCAAAAACATCACTGTTTTACGTCTATACTAGGAATTATTCTCAGGTTATATTTGATCAATTTAAATTGATGGTTAAAGCTACAGTTTGTAACTTTAATAAACTTTCATTTGCTAAAACTATCAATATCCTGACAGTACATGTGACAGATAATATGGGATAAAAAATAGGTTCCCCTGCCTCCTATAAGTGCTCCTCATGGCATTTGCAAGATTTCCCTGCGCAGGGAAAAACCCCAACAATCAATATTCTGTTACTGCTTTGCCTTTTTCACACCTTAAATGTGTTCAGGAACATATTTCAGTGCCCTGTATAGCTGTAAAATTTTAAAGTTTGTGACCCGACGTTGAAAACAGTCGAGCCAAAACCAAGCAGCGCCCACCTGACAGAATATCTGTCTCATGAACTACTGTCAGGATAATTACAGTTCAAGCAAATATAACCAAAGATTATTTGCATTTACTGTAGCTTTGATGGTCAAGAGTTATATTTTATATTGCAAAACTCTACAATATGTTGTATACAATATATGAGTTACTGTGAGAAAGTTTTAACTGGTTATGGAACGGTTTCAATTTGACGTCTCTACATGACCTATGTAAGTAAGACAAGACCATCAGCGAGAAGTTTGGCTATTTCTGTATAGTTACTCTTAATGCTGGGAGCCAACACTGATACCCCACTGCTGGAGGCCCAGGCGGTATTGCTGGGTCATCTGGAATGGATGGAGAACCAGAACCAGGACTGAGCGGGGCAGAATGTCAGATCCTATACTGCAGTGAAATGAGAGGTTTTCTACTGGGAATCTGGCGCTCAGAAAAGACTAATGCTTTCGTCCACATGGACACCAAAATCGAAGCAAAATGAAAAGTCCCTGTATTAGCTTTAATGTATGCTGCATTGCTACATTAATTCATTTTTCATACAAGATTGACTTGATGAGAAACATATAACGCAAACTGTAAACAATATGCACATGTTTCCCCGTGCTGAATGTGAAAGTTGCCTTTCTCGCTCTTTATTTGTGAAGTATTTATACTCCAGAGAAAACCTCTAAAAAATGTTTCACCCTAACCCGTCATTCAAAAAACAAAGTGTTTCCCAATTGAAACCAATATTTCAGTGATTTTAATAAACTCCTCTGCTGAAAGTCCTCCGATTCGATTGTTTTCCTGAGAATCTTCAAATGATTGTGAGCGATGAAAGAAAAAAAGAACCAGTGAAATCCTGGGAGGGACTGTCGACAGCCTGTCAAGTATAAACATATCTTCAGAGCGGGACAACATCTCCACTCCTAAAGCAGTAAACAATGCAGTCGGACTCATCAGACGCATTAGAAAGCCGCTAATGAAAGATGTGATCTATACAGAAACATGAATAAGCATGGAGATGTCACAGTGCTGCAATTGTGTTAGACATGTTCTATTATTCATGAAAATCAATTGAGAAACCAACCTCAGGGTGGTGCAAATTGTTATTGTGAAAACAATGCATGCAAAATAGCTTAATTTTAGAGTCATTTGGGGACTGTAAGGAGTTTGAAATGCATTTTTGTTGCAATGAGTGATAAAGACAGTAATGAATGATGTTGTTTTGGGATTTTGTTGGAATGATTCCAAGGTTTTGGATCTTGAACCGCATATTGTACAGACGCTTATATAAGCCGTGTGAAAAAGCAGCAGACATTTTCCTCATTTTTCTCTCTCCTCACCTCCCTCTTCCTTCCTGCACTCTCCCCCACTTTCTTTCATCCTCACACAGAGCCACACGTACTATACACACCAATTCTCAAGGATTATTATTACAGACTATATCCACCCACTTTTTCAACGATTCATTATTTTCTTGAACTTGACGAATACTCCAGTTCCAGTGTTTCACAGAATCAATCATGTTCTAAAGAAGTAGCTTGAAATAATGCCACAACCCTACCTTATCTTGAAGCAACAATAAATAATGAAGCAGAGTACCTCTGTGTTCATCAGCTCCTGAGTTTTCTTCCATGAGCAACAAAAGCAGCTGCATTCAGTGGCACTTTGTCAAAACAAAATTGGAGACATTGGAGACGTCTAAATGTCTGATTAGCAATTTAACAACCGCAACTTGTTTAAATAGCTTTTTTTATGATTAGAAATGAATCGAGGAAAACTGGGTAGTCACACTTTAATAATGAAACAGCATTGATGTGTCTCCCAGGGTGACAATGCGTGTGCAAAAAGAGACGGCGAGTATTATTTCATGTTACAACTGTTACTTTTTTTTTTTTTGTTGCTCAAAAACTGTATTTATATTGCATGAACATAGAAAATAATCGACACCCTTATATTGAATCTCCTTTCATGCACTTCAAATCTTTGTAATGGATAAACATTTTCAAATTTGGTTTTACCCTAAATTTAACTCTGTTGTATTTCACGTATTTTCATACAGTAATTTGCTGTTGATTGCATCTGTCTCATCATATGCCCTATCCATGCATGGTTCCTATGTCACAAGCTTTTTATTACAATACAAACCAAATGCCAAATGCCAAAGGAGCCTTGAATCTACTTGTATCTTGAGAATATTCTTCACTCATATTCTGATATCAGTGAGGCTGTGCTGCCGATATAACCTGGTAGTCCCCTGTGCACTGTAAAAGAAAGGATTCATCCACTGCCCACAGCAGTATCAAGTTGAAGTAGTGCTCTAACTCGCCCATAAATTAGGAGCCAGGTGTTTGGTTTGCTTGCTCTTGTGTGCCACTGGTGGAAGACATCGAGGTGGCGCCTCCCTCCTCATCCTCTCTCTCCCTCCTTCCCTCTCACCGCTCCCTGGGGTGTGTCTATGGCAGCGATTCTCCTCTCCACGCCGTGTGTGCATGTATGTGTGCCGTGCGCTGCTGTTGCTGCCGCCTCCGCCCTCTGCCTCCTATCTGCATCTGCTGCAGAGCTTAGCCAACACGTACCTCTGCTCTCTCTCTCGCTCTCTTGTTTTCCTACCTACCCATTTCTGCCCACCACAGTTGTTCTTTTCTTTTCTTTCTTTCTTTTTTTGCCGATAAAAGAGTCAGCGCACACCTACACCCGTGGAGTCCGCGGGGAGAGATGGGGCAGTCACTAGTCGTCACTTTGGAGTGTTGAGGACGGCGGGCGTACCGGAGGAGAGCACCGGATGGGATGGGAGCCTTGAAACCCACATCACTCACCGCGGATTTAGCGAGCAACCCCTCTCCCCGCCTCCCTCCGCCATCCCTCTCTCCCTCCCTCGCTGTCTCTCCCTAGTCTGCAGCCTCCAAGAACAGCCGCCGCATCATTTTTTTCAGAGCAGCAGCAGCCAAGCCTCCCTCACTCCATCCTCTCTCTCTCTCTCTCTCTCTCTCTCTCTCTCTCTCTCTCTCTCTCCGTCTCCCTTTCTGCTGCTTGCACCACTGTGGGAATGCAGCGAAGGTAAACGAATCGTATAGGCTTCTTCTCTTCCCCCCCTTCCCACCGACACCGGATCTATCATCGCAGACAGACTGCTGTGGAGACACACGGCTGTCACTCCCGGAAAATCAGAGTGGTGTGGTCGGGGTAGGGATTGGACCCAGATCACTTGGATTTACCCCGCTACCCCCCGGGCGCCGCCAGCACCGCCCCATCTCGTTTTCAGATCACATCGGATCCCTTTCTCTCCCCCCCTGCCTCGATTCAGTTTCGGTGGCTTTCACCGTCTGTCTCCCCCACTGGATTACCGACAGCTGGAGCGACCAGAAGGGTGTCTGGGCATGGAGTGCTATCGGAGGCAAACTTGAAGTAACCGACAAAAGACACCTGGAAGAGGAAAAGGAGGCTCGCTGATGTACGCAGGAAAGGTCGAATTAACTCAAACGAAACCTTAGAGAATAAAGGAACAATAAGTGCTTCGCATTTTCAGGAACTTATGCGGCGGATAATCAACCAATTGAGTGTGGAGACGGGTGCTGCCGTAGCATGGGTTGTTGATCTACGCACGCACACACGCGCATGGATTTACAGCTCCAGTCTGAGGCGGATCGATATCCTTCTCCGTTCTTTTTACGTCGGCTTCTTTTAACAAGAGAGTGAAGCATCCTGGGATTTATCATCGCTTCGTTAACGCTGAACTACAGTGAGGCGGCCCGTCTTCTCGCTCCCTCACCTGTCCGTAACCCGCGTGCTCGTGTGGAAGTGTGTATATTCTTGTGCGTATTTGCGCGTGTGTTTGGTTTGTTGTCCGCCAGAGGGACTGTAGGTAATATCACTATTGCGTGCGTTTGAGTGCTTTTCCAGTTTTTAATTAGTAGTAGGTGAATGTGAGTGGGTTGTGTCCGCTCATGCTCGTGCTTTAGTTCATGTTTTATGTTTGTACATGTAGATAATATATATATATATATATATATAAATATATATATATGTATATATATATATATAGGCTAGGTATTGTGTGGGTACATACTTAAGATGCCCAGCATTTCTTCTGCACCACATCCCCTTCCTCGTATATGCCCTTGTATCATTTGGCCACCTGTTTGACCGCCGAAACACCCCCAACAAGACGAAAAGCTCCGTCAGGATGAGTGAGCGTTCTGGTGCGAGCAGTCTAGCGGCCATGACACTGGAGGAGCCAGGGGCTGAACAGGCATCTCCCAGAGCCCCGGGCCCTCTCCGCTGCGGCCCCTGTGCTGTGTGGCCTCGCCAGCAGACCTGGCTGTGTGCCGTGCCCCTGGTAATGGGCTTTGTGGGACTGGGACTCAGTCTCATGCTGCTGAAATGGATTGTTGTGGGATCTGTCCAAGACTATGTCCCCACTGATCTGGTGGATCCCAAAGGTAGCATTGGACAGGACCCCATATTTCTCTCCAAACCCAGTGCCATGCCCAAGGGCCCCGACATTTCCACAGCCACCACCACTTCAACTGCCTCCACCACGGCCATGGTGTTGACTACCACGCCGCTAGCTGCCGACGGTACAGCTCCGGCGCCAAGAACTCGATCGGGGCCACCGGCGAACCACTCGGCCAACGGCAGCACTGCCAACGGAGATGGCAGTCGCGCCCCGCACCTTCACAACCGCGTCGGCACCCGCATTAGTGGGACTGTGGTTACCACCTCCACCACTCGCGCCACCCGACTCACCCCACCACTCAGCGGTAAGGAGGTCACCCCTCGCAGCACTGTTAGAAAAGGAAGCAGCACCGTCGGTGGACGCAACGGAGCCGCCAACTCTAAGCCGGGGCAGACCTCTGCCACCGTCACCACGACAGCATCCACCACAACTACGGCTACCGCGAAGGCCACCGCTAAGGCGCAGCCGACCACCTCCCAGCAGGCGGCGCCAGTCAAGCCCACGTCACGCTGGAATCACGGGCGCCCAGGCAAGGGCCCGGCCACACGCCCACACCACCGCTTCCGAACACGTAAGTTCACCTTCGGGGTTTATGGAGAGTTAGTGCGGTTGTGTGAGGTTATGTGTGGAACTGGAGATGAGTGTTTCACAAGAGCTCTTTTCTGGGCATTTACAGTAGCAATAATGGTATGTCACTATAACAGCCAGTTATTACATGCAACTGTGTGCCTGGATTTAAAAAAGAACAACGTCTTGTCTTATATGACTCATGGTCTGAGAATATGCATTTTTTCTTTTTATATCCAAATGGAAAGTGGATACTACCGCAGCTTAACATTAATCGCATTCATTAGCACAGATAGATATCCGGGGATATTCTCAGTACTTTCACCCCTCTCGTCTTTATCTTTCACTTGCGCATTAATCCGATAGGAATCTTGGGAGGTTTTTTTCACCCACTGGTTTAAGTACCATTAAAGGCAGGGCTCCGTCTAGTAAAGCATATTTTATTTGGTCTGCTTGAGTTGGGATGTTGAAGCTTTGCGATGTGTCATGTGACTGAGGACGGCACATTTGTGTTATGAAAACAAATAACAGGAGCTGGTGAGGTGTCGAAGCGGGATAAAGGTTAGCTTTCACCTCCTGTCGAGAGGAATCAGATATAGCAAGGCCACACATCTCATTTAGATCAGAGGATACTGGGAGCAGATTGTCGCAGGTACTGCAGGGATATACTGAGAGAGAGAGAGAGACAGAAAGATAAGGCACAGAGGGGAAAGTAGATGGATGTAGGGATGAGAACGAGGTTGCAAAGGACAAGTGGATAGAGATGAGGTAGGTAATGGAGAAAAAGAGAAGAAGTACTTTGACAAACAACAAAGTCGAAGAGGATGGCAATGGAAGAAAATGCAGGAAGCATACCAAAGCAGGGGAATGATGAGTGGGAGCTGTGAGCAGAGAGAGATGGCAGATGGAGTGGGCTAAGTGAGGAAAAGGCTCGAGGGAGATATAGGGTGTAAAGCAGGGTAGCTGTGAATTTTGCGTATTTAGCATTGTGTAAAAATATAAAAGGAGGCTTCCTGATTATTCATTCCACAAGGGGCATGTTTTTAACATCACAAGGCATAGTTTTCAGACGTGGGTGGGGCAGGATGCGAGTGCAGTCATGAGTATTGCCTGTGTGTGACTGTAGGATTTTTATTCTCCAACTCAAACAAATTCAGTTGAAACTTTAATTGGCAGCTTTGACTTAAAACTCACATTTGGCTCTTGATCATCTGTGTTTAGTTGCATGATTCGCCTTAGCTTTATACAGTTGCACCAATGCAAAGGCTCCAGGTCCAGTGGCCAAGTACTGTCTTCAAAATGTCATGGTAATAATATGAGCTCAGTGGATTTACCAATTCAAGGAATTATGAAATTGTCCGTTTCCTGTTTTGTTTTCCCCCCCCCCAGCAAAGTGCTCTAGTGGGCAACGACAAAACTTTAATGTGAAAACTGAAACCTTAATTTCTCAACGTTTCTGGTGTTGATCATACGTTTGGACGGCAGCTCCGGTTGGACATTGGATATTAAACTGTATGTATTCTGTTTGCAGTTGAACAGCTTTTGAGAAAAATGACTTAAACTTTGTAGTTTTCCCAATTGAGCGAGAACATTGGCTGTGATCAGCTTGAATTCACAAAGCAACAATGGACTCCGATGGTGACTTAAGTATAGAAATTCCAATAGGCAGTCCTCAGACTCCACCCGCACCATAATCCACTGCTCCAGAGTCAGTTACGTCACTCTACAAAGAGCTGCCAAACAGCTGAAAGCTGCCAAACCGGGCAACCCCCTAGTGTGAGCATCAGGACGCATCTGTTTGTACTGTATACTATAAAAAGGGCACTGCCTTCAAAAGCTAAAGCATGCTTCGTAAAGCTGCACTCAGTTAATATTATCTTTCACATATACAAGTGATTCTCAGTGGAGGCTGATGTTGTTGATAAGTCTCAAGCCTACATGTTGACATCATGACTAGTGGGCTGCCCACTTATTACATCCATTATCCATGCATTTAGTAAATATCTAACAGGTGGTACTCTACAGGCACCAAAACACATGTCTGCTGTCCTCATTGTTGCAAATCAATGGGGACAGACCGTCCCATTGTTTTATTCAACTCTATTTCACTAAAGTAAACCAGATCTTAAAAATGCAGACCTTGCCGAATGAAAGCTTTAAACATCACCATGGCAGCACGCATTGTTAAAGTAATAATTGATTACGTCAGTGATGAAAACTTTGCTGCAAAAGTAGTCATATTTGTAGAAATAGATCCTGTCTCCTACTTTAAAAGAAAAAAAAGACCATTAATATTTTCAAAGCCATGGAAAGTGTAATTTTAATAGCTAGGTACCTCCACCGGAGATTTATGGCAGTCTGACATAAAATATGCTCATCATTCATATAGCATATACATATTCAGTTTGTTTTGTAAGGAACGTCAAATGGGAAGTAAGTCACCCAGTTTATCACAGTTTAGCTACATCTGACAGCATTGTTTTTGTTTTTCATTCGACATTTCAGCTATATGGAGTTTTATTGAAATCTCTCCTTGCAGTAAAATTGCTGCAGATATTCCTCACTTACAGTACATTCTCATGGCCCAAGACTTTCTGATGAATGGTTTCCTTTCATTGATGATTGTAGGTTGATTGCAGACTTTAACTTGTTCCTCGGTCATTCGGTCGGCAACCTCCGGAAATAAGTCTGATTGTATAGAAGTCTGTGAGAAAATGACCCTACTCCTCTCCTGATTACCTCAGCAAACATCGTACACATGAGTTTATGGTCTCAATCACTAGTCCCAAGTCTTCTTCAATACAGCATGATGTTCATTTAGTAAATTATGGTCCTATTTAGAGTAAAATAGACCAAAAAGCAGGGTGTGCTTTAGGGCGTGGCTACCTTATGATTGACAGGTCACTAACACAGCTTTGTCCAGTCTGGGAGCTGTCTCACAACTTTAACCCTTTCACAGTGTGTTTTCAGTTTATGAAAGTCATTTGTAACATTTTGGTTGCCTAAAAAGTCTTATTCAGCGTTCGGTTGTACTTAGCTCCACCCTATCAAATCACTTCCGGTTGCAAAAAGCCAAGTTGGGAACGGGTAAAAACCAAGATAGCGACGGTCGAAATGCCGAACTCTAGGCTTTAAAACGGCAGTCTACAAAATACTGAGTGACCAAGTTCACTTGTTACTTACAGTCTATGTAATATTTAACATTTCATTTGAAGAAAGACATTTGATGACACAGAAGAAGCATGCGTTTCAAAATGTTAATTAATGGAAGTAAAACTATTTACTGATTGAATTCACCAGTTGACTTTGTGGCATTCAACCGTTTTATGGAAGTCTTATTCCTGAAATGTTTGCAGGACAGCCCTCCTTGAGCAAAACCACAGCTGTGAATCCATTGATTAAATAGTCTTATGTTCACTATCATGCTTTCACTTCCAGTATTTGTGAACACTTTGAATTTAAACCGGATCAAACAACAAAAAACGGTAGGGAACATTGCTAAAATGTAATGGTTAGTGTTAAGAGACCACTGTCACTACTTATACGCCCAAGGCTACGCTTTGTGTTAAATGGCTTCTTGTTGTTATGGTATTCTCCCCCGTGCCTCGTATTGACAATGTTTGTATGGGCTAAAATATTGAAGCATTCTCTTTACTGCATATTGCTTTAATTCATACAACCTCTGTACTGTTTATATTCATTCACAAAACCCTTGTGTACAGTATTTATGTGCCATATTAGATGCAAAACACTAACGCGGTATTCTTGAGGGCAAAACACTGCCGTTTATGGAGCAAACGTCAGAGAGTGCAGCTTCTTTGAAAGCTTGGATGCATCAAGTTTGTGGATTTGTGCAATGCCGCGTATTTAAAGTGTAAAGATACACAGAAAATGTCTCAGCTGATGATGAAACGCTCCGTAAAACATGGCTTCAGGTGCGTTTGTCTTTACCCACGGCCAAGTCATCTCATATTTGATGTTAAATTGTGTGCTAATGCAGTTATACTGTATGGCCTCTGGTTTCACATTATCTGGACTGCGCATAGGAGGCAGTAACATGTTTTTCCCCCCACTCTACTCGTTGCTATTGCTCCTGCTGTTTGGTGAAGATCTCAATTAATATCTGTTTCCTGGAAGAAAGACAATCCCTGTCCGTTGGGGATAATGACATATTTTCCCTACTCTTGTCTTTTTTTCCCTCCTCATTCTCCCTTGCTCTCCCTCTTTCCCCATGGTTATTGTGTCCGCTCTGAGTGTCATTGTATTTCTCCATCTACTTTTGCTTTGCTTTTGTGCTTTCCATCTTCCTTCATACGTTAGCTCCTCAGCTCATATTCATGAGCATATGGGCACACGCAGAAATACTGGCACACTTTTAACACAAAGACGAGCCTGACGCATGTGTGTGTGCCCAAACTCATGAATCTATCGTTTCTTTTTCTGAGGCCATTACGTATCCGACTCCACTCTCTACATACAAGCCCCATTGGCTCATACGTAGGGAAATAACAGGTGAATGGAGCAGAGCACAATGGATGCCTGTTGGGGAAACCATGGACGCTGCCTTGGCTCAGGGCCCAATGCCACTCTCTTCTCGCTTGTGAGGAATCTTCCTTAGGGAAGTGTGGTTTGTAATTCCATGCACATCTCGCTTGCCTGATTCCCGAGTTGTGAATCGCCAGCCACTTTGAAATTTTTGTCAGGCAATTCAAAAGATCTGGTGTTGCTCTTCAATGGAATCCATGGCTGTTTCACCCAGTTGGGGGAAACAAGCCATTCAGTCAGCGCCTTTTATAGGTGAGAGTCATTGTGTCGTCTGTGTGAGAGCAATCCACAGCTATCAAGGCTTCTGTAAATCAACTGAAACAACGCCCATCCAACCAGAACAGCTGTGAATTGAAGGATTTGTTTTTAACAGATGAAAAAGTGTTGTTGCTGTCATCCCCATGGGTTTAATTTTCAGTTGGCTTCCCTGGTAATTATGAAAATGGACGGGGAGGATTC